CCCAAACAGTGAATCTGTTGTGATTACCTTTACAAGTGTGAAATAATGTACAATTTCACTTTGCAGCTAATATACATCATATACTATGCCCTAGGGCCACTGATCTCCCTGGAAAAGTGCTGTTAGGTGCTTCTGAAACAGAGCTTTCCTGGGATATTTAATAATTCTTAGCCTTGTCATTCCCGAGCCTTCAATCTAGTCTTTTATTTGATTTTTACTTTGCATGTAGTTTGGGCAAAAGGTTGCTGAAATAGTCTTACAGGAGTCTTAGGCTGGGAACAAAAGAACTGATTTACCTGACATACAGTCTAGTTCATCTAGTCAAAATAGGGAGCAGTTCCAAAAGTTTCAAAGAATTCCAGAAATTCTCAAAAGTGGCCCTAATCCTGATTACATTGCAATAGCTCTCATGGAGCCTAATAAAACAAACTGCCTGTAGGGTATCTTTCTTCCTTGCAATTTAGGGCTAGTGGCACTGTGAAGAATTAATTTTGTTGTTTTTTATAATAAATCCTATTTCGTGGATGCGCCGACATAGCTCTTCTGTGGTTCCTATGGCAAAACATCCCACTGACTACATTCTGTCATTAATATATAGCTTTAAATCTTTTGGTTTTCATTACTTGTATAACGATAAACCCCAGAAATGCTGGACACCTGACCCAACACCTGGTTTGGATTTTTTTAATTTCTGCTGTGAAACCTTTTTCTCTTTTCTTTTAAACTGAATAATCTTGTCAGTCACCGTGCCATTAATAATTTCTGTTGCTCTTCTCAGGATCCTTTTTTCTTCCTCTAGTTAAGCTAATTAAACCAAACAGCAGGTTTTGAGCAAGGATGAGTTTATAAGATAGCAGTTTAACTTTCTTTCTTCATTCCATGCTGCCCTTTTGTATGCAAAATAATGTTATTGAGGTTTTTTAGATCTGCTCTTTCCTTTCACTCCAGCCACTATCCCTAATGTGGAATTTATTTATTGAAGAGAGTATTTTTACTTGCAAACACATGAGCGATATCCAAAAATCACCAGTGGAGGTAGGAAGGCTCACCAGCTATTGCAAAACCTGTGTTTGATGTTATTCCCCACCTTCACATTCTCTTCTGCCATTAAATTTTAAATCCTTTGGGTCATTCTTTATGCCTGTAAAAGCACAACATATCTGGAGTACTACTTCAAAGTATATAATACTTTCTGTTTGGTTCCATATTTCAGATTTTCAGTTATCGTCCACCATTTAGGTTTCTTCCTAACAGAACATTTGCAATGTTCATGAGTAGACTAAATTGTTTCTTCAGTTTGCATTACTTTGTCTTTGCCAACAGTGAATTTCTTCCGATGTTCTATGCCTGGTTGCTCCTTCAAGTCCCTTCTGCCTTCCAAGCTAGCTAATCGTTATATTAACTCACATCACACTGATCCTTGGGGCAGTCCGTTCTTCAGGCTTGCTATTGCATGACCTTCACATTCCTACCCTTTAAATAGTTGATCCTGACCCAGTGAGAGAAAGGCCTACCCATTCTCGCCTAGTGAAAAGATTTTTTTGTGAAAGATTCGGTGATTTTTCTGCTTTTATGTACAACTTCACCGTTTGCTTTATTATTTTTGAGTATGTACAACTCACCATCCAGCTCAAGTCTCAGTGTGGATGGTAGTTAGACGCCCTTGATTTCAGGGGACCTTTGTTTGGGCCATGAACTCCATCTCTGAACTAACTCATCATGTGCCTGTTCCCTTTTATTTGCCTTACGAAGGCTACATTTTCAGAGTAAGAAATAAAACGCATTGTCTCACATACTCACATAGGAAGACAGACTGTAGACAGGACTGTAGACATAAACAGGACTGAAAGAGATCTCCTGAGCCACGAAGCCTAGTCCCCTGGTGTCAAATAGGCACTGTCTTATATTTTGCCTTTCATAAAGCTATTCAGCTCTAACATCTAATTGCTCCATCCAGCCAGTTTTTTACATATTTTCCCCATTTTTTCTTGATACTGATGCTTAAAGCTGTAGGGGTTTTCTGAATATTAAGCTCTGCTCCTAGCCTAAAGGTTTTACCATCCCCTTATCTTTCATGATTCTGTCCAGCTTACTCCTAATTTGAAGTTTTTCCATCTCCTAAATACCCGCAGAGCTTAATGACAGTCATCTTAATGGTGTTGAGTGCTCCCCTTTCTTCTCTGTAAACATATTAAACTTCTCCTCAGAAGCACTTCTGGCAGTAGCCTCCTTATAGTTAATTTCTGCAGAAAATTCAAAGCAAGAAAAAATGGAAACCACTGGAAATATAAACTTGGAAACAGACACTGCCTTTCATACTTTGTCAGGTTGCATGTGTGTGACTAGCAGAATGGAGTGGAAAATCTTGCGAGTGGGCTCAGCTGTATCTTTGCTTGACGCTTTTGACTACAGTGATGATGTCAGTCTGCCTTCAGCTTTCCCACTTTCCAGAGTTTCCGTGTCCTTCCTTTCACTCTCTGTCAGCTGCTTTAGCAGCTTGTTCCATACTTCTGCAATATTTCCTCTCTGCTGTTTGAAGTCAACTCAGGGTATGGTTTAAAACCCCCATCTGCTATCACTGAGAGGTGTTTAAATCAACTGTTCTACCCTTCTATCCTAAACAGCCTTTATTTTAATGGGAACTGGACTGAAAATGGTTACACAGTCATTCAAATCGCTGTCCTGATGTAGCCGTAAACACTTACCTCCAGTATAAACTGTAAAATGCCCACACAATGCTGCCTTTGTTCTCTGTCAAGATGGGGGGAGGGAATGCAATGCCAGGGTCATCCTTATTGCAAACACCAACATTAGATTTTTGCATGCATGGTCATTTTATAAATTCTGAAGACCCAAATACTGCTTTTTTTCATCAAATGTCTCTAAATTTAGAATAAAACCT